AGGTTCTTGCTTGCAGGTCTATAACTGATTTTGCTATTTTAAAAAAAAGAAAAGGAGTTCTTTTGGAAGGAGCATAGCAAACACAAGGATCTTTAACTGGAACAGTCTGGCAAAGACACCCTTGCCACTGTTGCAGACACAACTGCTGCTGGTGACTCTCACAGTTACCATAAATAAATCCTACCTCTCCTTTTGTTAAGGAACTCAAAGTCCCAGGAAGGTCTGTCCAGCTGGCAGAGAGCAGGCCTTGTGACTGCTTGTGCCCTGCTATAAAGCCATGGGGGAGAAGGAGAGTCTTCCCTGTTTAGATTCCATAATGGAAGGAAAAACACGATGCTGTGACGATTCTGTATCGGTGACTATTATCTCTCAAATGAGAAAAGGGATTGTATACTGGCATCCCCCAAAATGACAAAGGTCCGCTATTACCTCTTTATTGTTCACTTTATTTTCAAATAACAAATTATTAACATATTGATAATTTAAAAAAACATAAAATTGAACATTTCTGTGTTCTGAGTATTTGTTATGCATTACAGTAAACCTTTTGGTACTCATTTTATATTTAATGGGAAGATAAAGTGAGGGGGAGTTTTCATCTTTAACTAGAATGCCAATACTATCTCTCAGATCTATAAGCACTTTAAACGTCTAACTCCCCTTTTTAATTCCAGGATCCATGAATATCATGTTCATTTCAAAACAGAAAAGTTGCTGTGAGATGGGTACACGTACGTGTATGGGGGAAATTAAACCTTAAAGAGTCTAAATCAGGCTTTTTCAATCTCAGCACTGTTGACGTTTTGGGCTGGATAACTCTTCATTGTTGGGGGCTGTCCTGTGCCCCATAGGGTGTTTTGCAGTGTCTCTGGCCTCTGCCTGCCTATATAGCGCCACCGATGCCAATCACAATCCCAAAAGACACAATCCTGAATGCCATAATCCCAAATGTTAAAATCCCAAAGATCCAAATCCCTAACATCTAATTGAATCCTCAAACTACAAGAACAGATTTGGAATTAAGTATGATCAAAGCTTCTAAAAGTGAAATTCAAGTTGTTACCAAAAATTTGTTTTGTCCATTTAGCCCAGTGCATTTGGCAGAAAACTTGGATGAGTAGGCCATGAAATATGGCAATGACAAAAAAATGAATGCGTCATTTGCCTGCATTAGCATTCTCTCCAGCTGATAACATTCCAGGAGCTTTTAATGAATTAAAGCCACATTTGCCTGAAGAAGCCAGAGAAGTTACTGACTGGTTCAAAAATAATTATATGCATGGTAGGATAAGAAGACACTTTTGCAACAGAGTTGCTGTTTGATCACCAGTATTGTTTTTGAAAATTTGTGGTCTATATATGAGCGCATGCAAAATGGATTTCCTTGTGCCCAAAACAACATAGAAGTATGACATAGATGATGGGAAATTTTAATAGAGAATGTTCATGTTGATGTCTATCAGAATCATAGAAGAATTTCAAAAGGAGCAGTGCCATGTAGAAAATGAATGCAAATGTATTCTCCAAGGAGAGCCATGTCCTAAAAGAAAAACAGCAGCTATTTATCGTGATGCATGACTTCAAAATGTAGCTAATGACTGTGAAAGCTGGCCAGCTCTTACAGACTACCTCTGTGCAATTGCTCATAATCTATTCCTATAATACACTTTTTCATATTTTCTTTTTAGTGTTTTTTGTTTTTTTTTTTAGTTTTGTTCCCACTATTTTAAATTGTCAGCACTATTATTATTTTTTTTACAATTCTATATGCTTTGTATTTCATCTTTGCATCATTTCCAATATTGGAGGTATAAAGTATGTAAAGACTTTTAGAGAGTTCTAATTCATTTATGCATCTTTTGCAAATTTAGCTCCACAAAGGTATATTACCACAAAGTTGACTTCGTGTGTGAGCATTGTGCATGTGCTTATAAACATTGAAACTTTCTCAATAAATGAAGAGATGTTCTTTTTGAACATCTGCCTGCATTTGTGAAAGATACAATTTCTCGAGATCTCAATTCTTTAGGTGATTGCATATTCAGTGGTGACTCATCCTGGTTTTTGATAGATCTCATCAAAAGACCTAGGTTGTCCATTATGATATTTCGGATGTCCTCAGTTATATAAGCTATTTCTTTACTAATATGGTTTGTCTGCTTACAGTTGTTGTACATGTAAGACTATCAGCAATATACCTGAGGGTTTATGCTTGCAAAAATAATGTATGGTATTATTGCCTAATTATTGTGCAAAGTGACCTGTGAAGTAGCCTGTCATGTTGTTATATGTTTCTCAAATAAATCCCCCTTTAAAAAATGTAAATAAATATCATTTAAGTAATTTTTAAAATTATTTTTTTCCAGAATTCAGGATTTTGATCTTTCAGGATTGTTATTAATTTTGAGGATTTTAGACTTTAGGAATTTTGATCTTTTAGGATTTCAACATTTGGGATTTTGTTATTTGGTATTGTGTCTTTGGGGATTATGGCCCAAACCCCAGCACCACCTGCCTAGATCCTGCCTATAGCACCACAATCCTGAGTTGTGAAAACCAAAAATATCTCTGGACAGAGCCAAATGTCCCCCATGGTGGGGGACAAAACTCCCATCTTCCATTGAGAGCTACTGGTCAAGGTGACTTGTATGAAGTCATTCAGGAAGTGTAACAAAATAAAAACTAAGACCTCTACCATCTGTTTCTTTATGCTCCTTGGAGAAGTTGGACTCAGAGGACAAGATTATCTAACTACTAAAACCACTTTAATTCACAGATAGGACTGAAATCACTTTAAATCACAGATATCATTCGAAACATGCAACATGCATTTCTAAGTACAAAATCAAATCAAGTATTAAATAGACACCCAATGCAAGAGAAGGATTACATGAGGAGCTTTGAGAGGAACTGTAATAATGTGTCCCTGATTTCAGGTTCCTATTACTCACATTTTTCTTAATGTCTGCAACTGGACCACCTACCCTAGATTCTGGGGCCAAACTCATTCCCAATAGGAGAACTTTAAACACTGTATGTCAGGAAAGCACAATCACAAAAGATTAATTTAGCCTTTGCTGATGTTATACTCTAGTTCAAGGTCAACATTTTTCATAAAGAGCCAGATAGTAAATATTTTGGGCATTACAGAACATAAAGGTCTGTGTCACAACTACTTCACTCTGCATTTGTAGCTGGAAAGCAACCATAGATAATATGTCAATGAATGGACGTAGCTCTGTTCCAATAAAACTTTATTTACAAAAACAGGTTGGACTTGCAATGTGGCCTATACAATGTTTTAGTTCAATGAACTGTATTCTTTATTTCTTTACCAAATCTTTCTTCTATCTATCCCAGTATCCAAATTGCAGTCCACAAGCTCATAGGTACAGGAACTACAATTTTATTTACTTTAACTTAAATTAATTTCTGCATTCCTGTGAGTGGTAAACACTAAATCAGCCAATTCAGATTTATCTCAGCTCATTCATAATCCATTCAAGATTATCTTATTGATTTTAGCGTTTTGTTCATCAACTCAGGATGTTTCCTTCCTTTCCCAGTTGTGTATGTTATAGAAGGCCCTTTTAGTGCCATGTGTTAGTGGGAGGGAGTAACTGATCCCCTGCTTTTATCTGTCCATTTGCTTTAATATCTTTCTGTTTTCTGTGTGTTGATCTACAATGCACTCCCTTTTAAATACAGGTTTTATTCTACCTATAACATTTTATTATTTAAGTGGGGTAAGGCCAACAGATCAGGCCACTGTGAAGATAATTTGTGACATTCACATATCCCAAGAGGAAGGGGCATGTCATGCCATGGGAGTGGGAGGCCTGGAGAAACGCCAAGCTTGGTCAGGAGGCAGAGGGGGAGAAAGAAGTTAAGGACGAGAGACTTTATTGTGGTTTCCATGGGAAGAAATAGGCAAGGCAGACTAAGCAGGTTTAGCATCTGATACTTTGAGTAATTTAAAAGGGCTCTGGTGTGTAGGGACTGTGCCTAGTTGCTTGGTACCTGGCCCTGGGGCAATTAGGTTGGGTAGATAGCAGCCCAGAATGCAAGAGCCCAGTATAGGAGGTGGTTGGGAGTATGGGCTCTGGATTGGTTGGTTTGCATTTGAAAAGCCAGCTGGTTGGGTTGGCAAAGTTTTTACTGTCTTTAGGAATTGGCCAGCCCTGGCTGGAGTAGTCCCTCCAGGCTCAGCAAGGCCCCGGATGTAAACATCAGAACACAGAAAATAAAAGACACAGCTATTACCCTCCCCTCTTCAGACTGCAAGGCCTTGTTGATCCCTGTTCTCTAGGCCATATCTACATTGCTATCAGGCCCTTGGTGAAAGTTCTAAGCATCCTCATACCACGCCGGGGACACAGGAACTTCATAAGGTCATTTTATACCTAGGGAGAGTCTTTCTAGTCATCTCAACTCCTTTGTGTGACCAAGAAGAGAAAGCCAAGGCTGGTGGCCTCTTCCAAATCTGATTAGAAAGCAAGGCATAGGTTGACCCTACCATTTTACCTCCCAAATTGATCTGGGATTCTAAAGTCCCAGCTCCCAGTCTTAGCCAGGGGTTGAGGGCACAGGTACTGGACCCCTTTCATGGTATTTTATGTGTTTAAAGTCTTGCTTTCCTCTGGCTTAACTCTCTCATCCAGCCTAGAGAAATTTAACTTTGCCGTGGTGGTGAGGTGGGGTGGGGAAAACTAGCTCTTGCCAACTTTGTACTTTTTCCCATCTATTGCTTTGTCCCTAAACTTCATGCCCTGTGTCCCTGAGGGCTGTGGATTTTGAAACTCAAAACCAAGGCTTTTGAAACCCATAACTCCTTTTCTCTTATTCCATGGTCTCTGCCACAATATTCAAAAGTTTATTTTGAAAGTCCAAAGCTAAGCTTTGACTCTTTTTTTCTTTTGGCATTTTCTTTTGCAATATCTGAGAGAAATAGATTTGGAAAGAAGAACCACATTAGTTAATATATCAAAATATTATCTTACCATACCAGTTGTATCCACTGCATACCAGGTTACCTTCTTTCTGCCTTGAATGCTTTGCTGGGACCCTGGTTCTCCTCCTGTTCTTCCTCATTCTGCTCCTGCTCATGCCATCCTCATACCCTCCCCTTCTTCAGTGGAACTGTGCTCCCATTGCCAAATAATCTCTCAAACATGCAGATATGAAAGATGAGTTTCCATCCTGGAAGAAATTACAAATTCTGAAACTTTACCCCATGCAATTTCTCTCTGTCTCTTTTTCTTACAAACCTGGATACTAGAATATCTAGATCAAGAGGGAAAAGTTTAATACATCAATTCTCTACCTTGTACACATTGAGGGGCTTCTAAAGTAAAAATTTGAGGGTAGGTGAGAAACTGTTAATGAAACTAACCAAGCTTAGTGTCTTTGTATGCAGCTAAATGTGGTTTAACTATAGATACTCATCCCCACACACAAAAAGGATTGCCTGTCTTTTCATGCATTTGTCCTTCCTTTTGTTCCATAAATACTTATTGAGCACTTGCTATGTGCCAGAAACTAAAGTAGTTCCGGGACATACATTAGTGAACAAAAGAGACAAAATCTACTGTCCCTTACGTAATATGCATTCTAATGGCAGGAGATAATTGCATAATTGCTTATATTTATATTGTGCTTCTTTCTTATGTGCCAGACATTGATCTAATCAATAGCCTGATGAGATAGTTACTATTATTACCATTCCCATTTTATAGAGAATGTTTAGCAATTTGCTCAAGATTTTAGAACTTGTAAGAGACAGAGCCAGAACGTGCAGATCGGCTCCAGAGTCCATCTCTCAATCACTCAGGTCTACTGCCTCCAGCTTATAAGTAAATTACAGAGGATATTAAAAGGCAATGATTTCTATTGGAAAAATGTAGTAGAAAAAGAGGGTAGAGCATGCTAGGGAAGATTACAATCTTAAATAGGGCAATTAGGGAAGACTTGACTAAGGTGTGTAGTTTGAGTAAAGTCTTGAAGGAGGTGAGAAAGCTAGAAAGATAAATATCTATGGTAAAGGTGTTCAGTCAGAGGGTACAGCAGTTGCAAAGCCACTCAGGTAGGACCACGCCTGGCATTCCCAGAAGTGCTGCTCTACCTAAGTCATAGTAGTTTATGTCTGTTTATCACACAATACCCATCTTTGAGTTCTGCTATTAATTTGGGAAGATGTAAAGTATTCAAATATGATCTGTCGTGTCTCTTTTCTAATCAATTTAAAGGAGCATTTCTGTAACTTTCTCTTTCACAATTAAAAAGAAAGAAGTAGATGGATAAGACTAAGAACAGTTAAAAAGAAAGAGTGAGAAATAAAAGATACATTGCTATCATTCCTTTTTGCTACAGATATACTATAAAGAATTGCTAAAAAAAAAAATGTTATGCAAATGAAAATAAAAACAAGCCCAGATTTTAATATATGTCTTTTTAAAAATGAGAATGATCATCCTTGTTAATCATTTTCTTAAACAAGTCTAAACATCATGGGTTGAATGGCATGAATATTCCTCTTGGTAGTACAGGCATTTGGCTAGAGGTAAATGTGAAGGAAGGGAAAAAATTTGCAGAGCTGGTCTTGGCTAAAGTTAATTTGGTGTTTCTTATTGCATTTACTTTGCCCTAGACTTCTCCAAACTGTCCACCAACCAGTTGATATTGTTCCTGATTCACAAGAATTAGAGAATAAACAGCTTGCAACAGAGGCTGCCCAGCCTGATCCTGGCAGAACTGATGTGAGGCTCATGAATGCCTGGCTGTTTTGATCTGCTCTGTAACAGATGGCTTGTTTCTAAGGACAAAGATCTTTATTTTCTTTCAAGTTTCCTTGGGTTGTATAAAAAAAATGGGGGTCCTGGTAGCTCGGTGTTCACCCTCCTCAATCCTAGAAGACATTTATCAAGGTCTAATGAGAAGAGATCTTAGACTCAGAATCAAGAGAGCAGGACACAGATTCCAGCTTTTTCACTAACTAGGGATGCAATTTATAAAAACGAGCTTGTTATCCTCTTCAGACCGCAGTATCCTCATTTAAAATATGAAGGCAAAAATTGCCGTTTCTATAGTTTTCGTAGGGTGTTGTTAGAAAAAACTGAGAGTAGGTTGAAGCGCATTAAAAATTAGTCTTTAGCAATAGAAGGGTTTGCTATTATCCTGTCTTATTTTTCCTATTTTTTATTCATGAATAAATCTTAAGATTTTCCCCATCTGTTTATCCTCTTGTTTAACTTCTTAAACTTCCCTAATCTCCTCTGGCTGACTATTAATACTTAAGCTATTCTCCTTCAAAACTGACTCATTTTAAGATTATTCCTTAATATTATAATTTTGTTGATTCTTTTCTTCTGCTCTGTCCTCACGTCTGCAGTCAATTTGTACATCCTCTAATGTGACATTGGCTGGTGTTCACTTCGATATAGTACAGGGGCCCAGCAGTCAACTAGATTCCATCCAAGTCTCTGAATGTACTTGTTTGGCCACACTGCTCCCATCTGCCTGGACCAAAGAGATGAAATGCAAGTGGCTGGTTCTCCAGAAGGGACGCTTATGCATTTGGGTGGAAGTATGGAATCCCTGCTGTGTAAAGTCCCCAAAAATGACGAGAGCCTACAAAAGAAGCACTAACTGAGGAGAGACAAGAAAATAATGCTGCTCTGAATTAGTTGGAAAGTCACCCACAACTCTTTAAGGAGGCTGAAGAGTTCTCTTTTCCCTATGTAACCCATTTTTTATGGTGGTGTTTCATGAATGCCCTTTCTTAGAAATACAACCTAGTTTCAGAACAATCATGTGAGACTAGGTTGTATTGAGTCGAGAGAAACATTTCTCCTCTGATAACTCATCTGGTATCTTGGGATGCTAAGCTGACGTGGATTCCTCTTTCTCCTTTGCCATTTATTTTCCACTCTGTCTCCCTGTCTTTATTCTGTCTATCCAATGTCTTCCAATCCTTTATTCTTTTTATTTTTTAAGCTTTTTTTTTTTTTTTTTTTGGCCAGACATACTTGGTTTGTTTAGTTCTTACTCTCTCCTAGACTGTGATCCTCTTGAAGTCAGTGTGTATTATTTATAACAGTATTTCCATTTCCAGTTCTACACACTAATGCAAGTCCTCAATAAGTTGATAAGTAAAATTTCTCAGCCTTCACTTCATCTTGTATGGACTCACCTTGTTCTCAACTAAATTGACATTAACACCACAAAATAGTTGGGGAGTCCTTGCTACTTCAATTCTGAATATCAGCGTAATGATTTCAAGCTGTGTACCTTAGAGCCCTGGGAGGGAGGTCCTTAGATTCTGGAAGAAGAGTTGAAAGCAATGTTCTAGTGAGAAAGTATGGCCATGTCTAGTTACAGACTGATCCCCAGAAGCAGATGCTGAGATGGAGTGTGAGGGTGAGATGTTTATTAGGGATCGACACTCATGAAGGTTAGAAGAAGGAAGCACAGTTGGGTAGAGAGAGATGCTAACTGTGATGTGGATCCAAAAAGCATCAGCCAACTTATGCCAGAGTGGAGGTAGAGAACATCAATAGCAGAGATGCTTGGTGGAGATGTCCCAAGTTGGGCAAAATATCTGGATGTCTACAGTCCCTCATGTCCACACACAGGTATGGGTTGTGACCTCAGATGAGCAGCTCCTTGCAGCTGTGGTCCACAGCTGGGCAACAAGTCTCTATTCAAAGAGAAATCTGTATGACATGCCTCCTTATCTACCACTTGACTTATCAGAATTATAATGTACATATAGATTAAAAGTGCATATGCTGCCAAGTTGGCCTTGAGGAGTTTCATTCCATTGATGAAGTATTGACTACTGTGGAAGTGACTTATGAAAATATCCCTGTGATTCTTTCTTTCTGAGCTCACACTTCTTTCTTTGTTCATAGTTCAGCTACACCTTCTCATTCTCTCTTTTTGTTGTTTTTTCTTTGTGTCTTATTTATTCTGTAAGCTTTACTTACTCTTAAAGTGTTTTCATTTATTTTTTATTTTTTACATTTTATTTTTTATTCAGTATATTATGGGGGTACAAATGTTAAGGTTATGTATATTGCTCATGACCTCCTTTCCCTCCCACCACCCAACACCCGATAAATGTTATTCCTATATGTCCATTTAAGTGTTGATTCATTAATACAATTTGCTGGTGAGTATATGTGGTGCTTGTTTTTCCATTCTTGAGATACTTCACTTAGTAGAATGGGTTCCAGCTCTATCCAGGAAAATACAAGAGGTGCTATATCACCATTGTTTCTTAAAGCTGAATAGTACTCCATGGTATACATATACACATTTTATTAATCCCTCATGTATTGATGGGCACCTGGTTGTTTCCACACCTTTTCGATTGTGAACTGTGCTGCTATAAACATTCGAGTGCAGGTGTCCCATTTGTAGAGTGTCATTTGATCTTTTGGATAGATGCCCAGTAGTGGAATTGACTGCAATGAGATATCACTTATCTCCAGTAAAAATGGCCTTTATTAAAAAGTCCCCAAACAATAAATGTTGGCGTGGATGCGGAGAGATAGGAACACTCCTACACTGCTGGTGGGACTGCAAACTGGTTCAGCCTCTGTGGAAAACAATATGGAGATACCTTAAAGTGATACAAGTAGATCTACCATTTGATACCTTCTTATCCTCTCTCTCCCCTGATCCTCTCTCCTCTTTCCATGCTATGGTATCTTCCCTTTCTTGTTTAGACACTTCTGATTTTTACAAGTTTATTCCCCTTTGGGGAATAAAAGAGGGCAGGGAGAACAGCCTGGAATTGATTATATGAACTACACAGAAGGTCACTCTTTTGAAGCAACTGCATCTGTAAAAATCTGAAGCTATTCCCAGTTGTCCATGAGGATTGTGTGGTTTCCTGGGAAGACATGACCAGAGCTTTAGTGTTGTCTGAAGGCTCTTTCCTCCTGAGGTTTCACATATGTAGAGACATAATTCATTACAGCTCGAGCAGAAGTGTCACCAATAGCGATTAAAACCTAACTTAAGTGGCTTGCCAGAACATATGAGCAAAAAGAAGTCATCAAAAGTATGAGGTTTTTTCCTTCCTTTTTCAGATATGGGTGTACTATTATACAGTTGTGCCTTCAAGAATCACAATGAGGAGGTTCAAATAGTATCTATATTAGTGTTTGTTTTGGCAGCAGGCTGTTAGACTTGGAGAAAAGTTGAGAGCAGGACTATTTTACTTTTCAAAAGCTTGGTGGGGAGGTCATCTAAGGTACTGTCAGTTACTCTGGGTTAGAGTTATGAAAGAGTTTTGATTCATCCATAAGTGAAATCACCACCATGACATGTTATTTACAGATATGATCCATGTACCTGTATCTACATCTCCATTATAAAGGTCCAAATTTGTGTGTGTGTGTGTGTGTGTGTGTGTGTGTGTGTGTGTGTGGGCTCAAGTCCAGTTTCGGACACAGAGAGGTATCCCACTTCACTTGGCATAGCAACTACCAAGTGTCACTGAGAATAAATACTATCTTAGATGGCAAAATTTCTCCCCAGACTTGCACACATAGTTAAGCTCATAGAATAAGCTTTAAAATATCAGTGTTTACTGAACATTTACTGTGATTCAACCATACTTCAAAAGTACTATAAACACATATGCATTATTTAATTAAGTCCCTACTACAACTACTCTTATTAGGTACTATTGTTATCTCCATTTTACAGATAAAGAAATTAATACTTCAGAATTAGCAACTTGCCTAGGATCCCTCTACTAGTAAGTGGTAGAGCTAGGACTAATGTCGGCTATTTTGGCTCCGGAACTGCTGATCTCCCAGCTAGTGAACGACAGGGTTGAAATGTGAACCCAGGTCTTTTAACTCCATGGCTCGTGCTTTTAACAAGGTTTACAGCTATGCTATTTAGAAAACGACCTATTACGCAGATGATATATAGAAGCTGAACCCAAGACCAAGTACACACACTCACAAAACAAAACAAAATAAACAACAAAAAACCCCAACTTAGTTAGACACCTTTTGCCTAACTTATGGTTGTTCGAAAGGCAAAGAAATGACTTGTCCCAGAGGTTTTCTCGCCTTTTCCCTATATTAGCTCCATGGTATCCGCACTCCAGATTCTCAGGCCTCTCTTGAAGACTCAATTGTGTGTTTTGTTTCCTAGGATACCTGAGATACCAGAATTTTATCCAACCTCCTTCACATTCTTGGCTCTGACCTCCCAAATACTCCAAAGTAAGCAGAGGAAAAGAGAGAAGAGAGGGAGGCCTTTGCCTTCCAGTCTTTCCCATGCGCTGATGTTTTCTTCCTTTCCCCAAGAGAAACAAACAACAACACAAATCTAGCTACCATTTCTGAAAATCCCCAGGTTACTCCTTTCCCAGAGTTCTCACTCACTCATTTAGCTGACATTTCTGCTGGTGACAAACTCAGTGAATTTTTTCACTGCAGTTGCTGTGAGTTACATGGAGAAAAGACTGGGGGAAAATGTCCACTTCTCTTCTGCAAGAACCACCAGCAGAAATGAGAGACGCAGGGAGGGAATTTTGCAAAATGTTAGCTTTCTAGAGTTAAGAACAAGAGCCTGTCTTGCCAAACCTATTCTGTGCCATTCATTGTGGAATGGAGTATGTTGCCATTTTATGGCAATCTGGTGATCAACAGCTTATGACAATTCCTAAGATCCCATATTTTGCTCTGTGCATGTATGTGTAAGGACGTGTGTGTGAGTATGTGTGTGTGAGGAGTGAGAAGCTGTTGGACAGCCAGAGATGAGAACTAAATAGTTGTTGTTATTGTTATTTTTTCTCAGGATGACCCTTCCTTCCAGAAGAACAATGCGCTGTGATCTTTGGCTACCTGGGCTTTACATCATCCATATTACCCTGCAGCAGGAACAGATTGATGTGTATTTTCGCTGCCCCCAGAGAGTTACCCTCTAATCCTTCATTTGCCGCTCCGGCACAATTGCACAGATGCAATAGCAGGGATAGTTAGAGTGCATACAATTGATTCCAATCTATCCATCACTTAAACTACAGTCTAGGACATCAGGAGGTCAAAAACCAAACCAAACCAAAACAAAACAAAAACCCCAAAACTTTTGAATCAAGAAATGCTCTGTCCATTCCAGGTCAAGGAAAATCGTGATGCAATTTGGTTTGATTCTTTGACCTTAGAATAGTTTCTCACTTTTCAGTGGAGAAAGTCTAAGGTTTGTGAACATTCAGTAATGAACAAACAGTGACAGTAATGGTTAGCATTTTTAAATGGCATTTGGGGGAGAGCAGCTTCTACTTACCAGGATCTTTAGATTCTAACACTAATTCTCCTGGTTGAGTCATCATGGAATTGTGAGTGGGAAAGATAGTAACTCAAATGATTTTGATGCCAAATAATGAACATCTATTGTTTAAACCAGGAATCCCTAATCTCTTTGGCACCAGGGACCAGTTTCATGGAAGACTCTGTGGGGAATGGTTTGGGGATGATTCAAGTGCGTTACATTTATGTACAGTGAAACCTCTCTGCTAATGATAATCTGTATTTGCAGCCGCTCCCCAGCACTAGTATCACCACCTCAGCTCCACCTTAGGTCATCAGGTATTAGATTATCATACGGAGTGCATGACCTAGATCCCTCACATGCGCAGTTTACGGTAGGGTTCGTGCTCCTATGAGAATCTAATGCTGCCACTCATCTGACAGGAGGCGGAGCTTAGATGGTGATATGAGCAATGGGGAGTGGCTGAAAATATGGATGAAACTTCGCTCTTTCACTTGCTGCTCACCACCTGCTGTACAGCCTGGTCTCTAATAGGCGACTCACTGGTACTAGCCTGGAACTGGGGGTTGGGGACCACAGATCTAAAAGACTGGTCCTATTCCTTAAGGGGATCAGATATGACAGAGACATAGACACCACTAGCAAGCTGCTTATAATCTGGGAGGGGAGAGGGAAAGTTTACATATATAATGATAATAAATATGAAGGGCATCAAAGGGGCTTCCAGAATTTACTGACTCCTCTATAATTCTGTATTTGAGGCCATGGGATCTAATTTTAAATTTTCCAAATTCCTACCCAAACAGCCATGGCTGTTGGAATTGAAGGAGTCAACATTAGGAACTGAAAGGCCATTAAACCTTGGAATTGTAAGTATAGGAAGGAGACAGGAAGGGCACTCCAGGCAGAAAGAACATACCAGAGTCAAAGAGATTAATAAAATGCTCCAGATGAAGCATTAAGAGGGTGCACCTGGTACTTAGGTTTGTGGCTTCTTCAACAACTGTCTCTGGTTAAATACAACCTAAAAAAAAATAAAAATAGAAATAACAATGAAAAACAAAGGGAAAAGCCATCTCTACAAAAGAATAATGCACTATAAATATTCTTAGGCATTTTTCCCTTATACTCCTAAAGAACAAGTCTTTGCAGTCACAATTTGATTTTAACTTTTCAAATGTGAAAAGAAATTTCATATGTGTATATATTTTTGCAGCTTGTGTGATTTAGGGAAAAAAAAAACACAACAGGCAAATCTATTGCTTTTGTACTTATATTAGAAATGCCAGATGCATAACCACAATTTAGGTTTGCTTTTTTTTCAACTCAAACAATAGTGTTCCCTTAAGCAAAATTGGCTTAACTTTGAGAGTAAATGCTAAAACTTAATGTTTTGAAATCTTGCAGCATAATTTGTTGGCAACTAACGATCTTGTTTTGCCAAGTTTTACTCCAAAATAATTTTCTTACTCAGAGTTGATATAGGGAGTGGCAATTCTCACTTGAATATATGGCAGTTACACAGCTGAGCCAAGTAGCATGCTGAGAGATGGGGAACAGACATCTTAGACTAGACCCAGGGACCTATTTATTTCAGTGGTAAGCACTCTGAAGACCAGTGAGGTGGGTGATTAGTTCAAACATGCACTGTTAATTAGTGGATAAGGCAAGGCAGAACTACTATTAAGTTTAAATTGATGAGCTTTCAAAAATACTGCCCCCAAAAAGAACATAGAGGAAACTCTAGATGGATGGTGGCTTGTAGTATCTCACATCCTTCTACTCAGGGCTGTGACCCCAACGCAGCCACTTCTTATGAGGCCATTTCAGCAGGAGTAAGCCAAGACCTGTTTCTGTACTTTCTCCCCTTTGGGATGAAACTTTAAGGCTCAGTAGAAAAGCTTAAGGCAAAGATTTGAAAACTGCCCTTCTTGGGGAGAAAGTCAATTTCAGCTCTCCTGAACTTTAACTTTCCTGAACCACAGGGACTGCCTGACCCTAAGAAACTGAACAGAAATGAAACAGTTGGGTTTACTCATCTCTACCTCTGAGATTCGGAAAACAAAAGCTATCACAGAATGGAGAAGCTCTGCTTTTGTGCACTGAGAGAGGAGAGAGGGACAGTCTGCTGTGTGTAAAATGAGGCCCAGGGCAGAGATGGTTGCAGCTTCCACCGCTCTCAGGAGGGCTCCCATGTAAGGCGTCCGGATGAGTAGACGTGGAAAAATGACATCCTATTAATAGGGCCTGTGAGCCAGAGAGCAGACTGAACAGAAAAATCCAAATAGACCACTAAAGAAATAGAGCTGCTTCTTTTAAAGCTAGATTTAAAAGAAGTAGAGGAATACGTAAAGAGATCCAAATATAACACTTGGCCCAGTTTCTGGAACTAAACCTACATGATTTTTTGAATGTAAAGATTTAATAGGTGAAGTGAAAGAGAGGGCTAGCACCATGGATGCTCAAATTGGTGGCTCAGAGGATCAGGTGAAAAAATATATTAAATCACAGAGGAAGAAAAGAAAAAACTATATGGAAATATGAAGGGAAATGGGTACATTGTTGAAGATATATTCATGATAAAATAGAATTTCCAGAATGAGAAAAAGATACAGATAAAGGAAAGACAATTATTAAACAAATACTTAAAGGAAATGTCTCTGAGCTGAATTAGCAAATTTAAATAGCTCATCAAATTCCAGATAAGACTGCTGAGATAATACATGCCCTAGGTATATCTCTATAAAATTCCTGAACTGTGATGATAAAGACTAATAAATACTTAATGCATCCAGACAGAAATGGGTATTTTACAAAGGGAAAAGATTCAGATTGGTAATGAAGTTTTGTAATCCCAAAGCTATGAGATAGTAAAACAGTATCTACAAATGCTTTAGAATAATAGATTGGATCTGTGATAAGATATTATTCACTGAAAGCTTATAAGAATGTTATTTGCAGAGATTACTTCACCCACATATCCCACCTGAGGAAACACTTAAGAAAGAACTCAAACCAGAGAATAAATCAATATGATCTTCATGACAGATGGAATGAATGAAGAGGTAAAACTGGTGAACAAAAAAACTTGGTAACATATTTATAATTAAATATAATTGAATAATGATAAGCAATCTGGGACTTTGTAAGTTAAGTGATAAACAAGAATTCTTAAAATAGAAGAGGCCTACTGCAATGAAAATTCTAACAATTGTCAGAAACTAAAAGTACTAAATTATTTGAGATGGAATTTGGGTGGGAGAAAGAAGAATAAAATAAAAGCATTCCAGAGGTCTCATATGGGGTGCAGAAGGCGTTGAGGGGAAGCTAGTGGGCAAGTGGAAATATTCCAAATATCTTGCCTTACTGGACAGAAGAGAAGAGGTAAAACACTAAAGAACCTTAGTAGGGAAAGAGTTATGATCTGGTTTTCATATAATATTAAATAAATATGCATGTAATTATGTACACAAGGAACAGAAAGGTAACTATTAATGAAAGGTGAAATAATAGTAGGACTTCCAAGTTAGCAAGGAGGAAAAAGCAAATTAATAAATTAACAACAACTTAATCATATAAGTAAACTAAGGAAAAAGAAAAATATTAAAATGAATAATAAAGTAAGTAGAAGGAATAAAGTCAAGTATATCATGATGCAGTAAAGACAGAGAATGTTTAAGCTGGAGTAAAAAAAATCAAAGCTAGGCTATAAACCATTTATTAGAAACACAGTTAAAAATGAAATTATAAAGTTCGAAAATAAAGAGATAAATAACGTTTAGGCAAATATAATTTGAAAACTCAGGGGTTTCATATTACTATCAGACTGAGTAGAATTTAAAGGTAAAACTCCTAAATAGAAAACAATTACATTGTATTAATATTAAGTATAATTTATGAAGTAGTAAATACCATCGTGACTCTGTAGATACGAAACAACATAATAGTTAAATAAATAAAGCTAAAACTACTGGTAATTCAAAGAGAACTAAGTAAAAAATAAATGACGGTAGCATGTTTCAGTTTGTACTTTTCAGAATCAAAAAGATCTAATAGGCAAAATATTAGTAAGGACATAGAGTTTAGTGATATGGTCAATCAACTCAATTTAAATGTGTATGCAATCTTAAATTGGGACATTAGAAAATATTTTTGTTATATTCAATGGTAATTTGTAAAAATCAATCACATATTTGGATACAAACAAGACTTCAATAATTTTTTTATCATAAAGGCTACATTCTGAAAATAAACAAATACAATAAATTAGAAAAAAATCTTAAATGGTAAAAGCTTATCTTCTTTGAAGTTATGAATCACTTTTCTATATAACCTTTGGCCTAAAGGGGGTGTAAAACTAAAATTACATTCTATTTGGAAAGAAAGAAATAAAAATTCCTCTATACTATCACATAAAAAAACAGCAAAAGCAATATTCATGGCAAAAGCTATAACCTTAAAAGCCTTTATATTAAAAAAGAAAGAATAAAACTAAGGGAAGTTAACATCCATCTTGCAAAACAACAGAATTTACCAAAGCAATGTAGGGAAAGAGAATTAACTTAATGCAATCTGAAAGTAATGAACTAGAAAACAAAACAATATGAAAATAGTAGACAAGAAATGCAAAAGCTAGCTCTTTGATGAGGCCCCCTAAAAGGAGATAAACATCTTATAATTCAAATTAAGGGGGAAAAAGTGAGGGAAATTATAAAAATCCACAAGAGTATGGATGAGAAAGGAGGCATAATCACATGTAGAAAAAGAATAAATTCAAAGAGACAAAAGAATATTACATGGAACTCTATGGCAACAAATTCAAAAACCTAGAGAAACTGGATAATATAAATAACTCAAGATAAATATTAGAAAAATTGAATAGATGAGGTAATACAGAAGAAGTTAAAATAACATAAATACTTACTATCAAAAATAGCAACTGGATAACGTTACAGTTGATTTTTACCAAACTTCCAAAAAAAAAAAAGACCCTCCCATTCACTCTCCTGTTCTTTGTTCCTTCATTTCTTCCTTCCTCCTTTCCTACATTAGAAAAAAATTTGTCAAGTGCTTAGTTTGCAGCAATTTTTTTTTTTTTTTGAGAAAGAGTCTCACTTTGTTGCCCAGGCTAAAGTGAGTGCTGTGGCGTCAGCCTAGCTCACAGCAACCTCAATCTCCTGGGCTCAGGCAATTCTTCTGCCTTAGCCTCCTGAGTAGCTGGGACTACAGGCATGTGTCACCATGCCTGGCTAATTTTTTGTATATATATTGTTAGCTGGTCAATTAATTTCTTTCTATTTTTAGTGGAGACAGGGTCTCGCTCAGGCTGGTTTCGAACTCCTGACCTCAAGCAATGTGCCTGCCTCGGGCTCCCAGAGTGCTAGGATTACAGGTGTGAGCCACCGCACCTGGCCTAGGGCACAACATTAAATGAAACAAAACTCCTGTCCTTAAAGAGCTTACCTTCCAATTTACATCTCTTAGAAAAAGATGGTAGGCTGCTCATTTCATTTTATGACATAATCATTTTAAGACCAAAACCTATTTAAAATACTGTAAAACAATAATCCTCAGGCCAACATCCCTAATAAATATGGTTATAAAATTCTTAAATAAGATATAATCAAATGGAATGTAGATGGTGTCAAAAGATACAATGCCTAAAAATGTTTGTTTCAGAATTTTAATCATGGCCCCAGATCAGGGAATTTATCAATATAATTCGCTGTATCAACAAATTAAAGAAACAATATAAACATATGAATGGTATTTGAGAAACTGATAAAATTCAACGATTTCTAAAATAAAACTCAAACAACAGGAACAGATGAAAAAGTATTATCTACAGAGTTAAGATATTGGCTTCATAATTATTTAAACCGTTTTCACAAATGCAGAGCCTTTCCCCTCCATTTGTATTAACTCTACAGAATTAAAAATGTTAATCCTAGTTTTCACCTATTATCATAATAATTTATGGTCATATCAGTCACAAAGCAAATCAAGGATTTAGACATAGGCAACACTTAAACTCCCCTACAAAATGAAGGTCCACAAACCCAACAAGCTTCCTGTGGAATTTCTAGCTACTTAAGCCTTATACAGGGAAAATGCTTAATAAATATTTTTTCAATGTGAGCAAGTCATTTAACCTCCAGGAGCTCTAGTTTTTTCAAAACAGAATAGGGCAAGGCATGCCTTGCCTATCTTGTCAAGTTGCTAAAACAATTTCATAATATATGTGAAATTGGGAGAGAAGAGATTAAGATGGCGGCCCAGAGACACAAGCTGCCAGATTCTCTCAGGAAGAAGGAAAAGTTTTAGATGAAAAAGAAACAAACAAACAAACATAGATTGGGTAATTCAAAGGGAAAAGTGCCCAAACCTACACGAGATTCCATGGGAAGAAGTTGTGGAGCAGAAGAAGAAGGAGCAACCTATCAGCAGAGGTCAACCCCTAAGAGGCTGGGAATCCAGAGAAAAGGGCAGGTGGAGCAGTTTGTGTCTCCTTCCCTCACAACTCTGGCAGTCAGCAGCCTCCAGAGCTGCTGGAGAGCCTTTCTAGCCTCACAAGCTCCAAAGCGGATGCTGCCAGTGAACTGGGAGCTTCTTGAGGACAAAGCACCAGGCTGCCAGCCCCCTTGGGGTGCTTCCCATCACCACAGACCAGAGCCAAGACGGCAGGCACCATATTGCTTCTCCACCCACCGTGCACCTTTGTACTTTCGGGGGTGGGGGGCCTTCAACCCCTCAGTTTTCATCTCATTCATTCCCACACAAACAATTCCCAGCTCCGGCCCAGACTCGGGGAGCCCCAGGGGTTGGTGGGTCCTTGTGGAGCTGCGTGATCCCAGAGCTTAGACATACTGGACCGGCTACCTTCTAGAAAGAGGGAAAGAGATGACCAGAGTGCCAGCTTTCCTTTATCCAGACTCTTTGCCTCTTCTACCCCTCCCCCACCTATGGCTGCCAAGAGAGACGATTGAGCCAAGGCTCTCAGGAGGAGCTGCTTCCCCTGTTGGTGTGCCCACCACACTGAGGCTTCCACCGAGAGAGGGGCCCAAACCTTTCCTCTTAAAGACCTGCAATGGACTAAGGGGTGCTCAGACTGTGAGCTCCCTGCTCACCAGCCCTCCCCAGTGCTGCTTGTACCCTGAAGCAGAGGCACATCGAACCTGCTTGAGCACCCCACAGGCAATTAAAGACCAGCATGATTCTCCCTGAGACAGTCAGGGATCGATCTTCAGGGACCTGGGGACAGGCCCACAGGCCAGATCCTGTACCTCCAGGAATGGACCATGTTGCTCGGGAGCATAGTGGGGAGATGTGTGAACTAACCTTGGGAGGCGAGGGAGCCCCAAACTGAAAAGAGAGTGCAGCGTGGGTTCCAGCTGCAGCACCCTCTCCCCAAACAGGAAGACTGTGTTCTCAGCACCGAGCAGGATCCAGGACAGGGAAGCTCCCCAGCCTGCGGCGCCATTGCTGGGGAGCTGAGCTAGTCTGAGCCCCTGCCTACCAGCAGATGCCAAAGGGAAACCATGGAGCAGGGGAGGGAGGACAAGAGCAAAACCCACTCTTGGCAGCCAGATTGTGGATCTCACATGGCCCCTGCCTCCACAAGCAGAGTTTCTGGCTTCCTGGGGCCACTTGAGACCATCCCTGGAGGTGTGCCAAGACAGCTATGCTCCAGCTCATGTGGAGCTTGAGGGTAGGCTCACCCAACCCAGCCCTGCCCAGCCTCACTCTCCCACCTGCCTTTACAGTGGCCAAGAAAAAGGACTCCCCTGGATGTTCCAGGGCCCCACTCACCCATGGGGCACTCCAGTGATTCTCCTGAGGGGGTAGAGCCTTCCCTGCTCAGGTAAGCCACAATTCAATAGTTTTCCATCCATCTCCTCACTGCCACCACCATCTTTTGTGGCTGCCCTAAAGAATGGTTTTCTACTCAGCCGCAAAAAGCAATGCTGATCTAGCACCTCTTGTATTATCCTGGATAGAGCTGGAGCCCATTCTACTAAGTATCACAAGAATGGAAAAACAAGCACCACATATACTCACCATCAAATTGGTATTAAGTGATCAACACTTAAGTGCTCATACAGTAGTACATTCATCGGGTGTCAGGTGGACGGGAGGGGGGAAGGGAGGCATGGGTATACTCATACCTGTGGGTATGGTACACACCGTCAAGGATGGGCATGCTTGAAGCTCTGACTCTGGAGGGGCAACGGTGATATATGTAACCTACATATTTTTACCCCAATAATATGCTGAAATAAAGAAAAGTCACAAAAAACCCCACCACTTTATGTTATTATTAAAATTCACCATCACACACACACACAAAAATCCAGTTCTACTTAACAATAGAAAGCAGGTAAAATAAGGGAATTTTTCCCTTCATTTTGCTATCAAACCATTTCAAAATAAGAAAATATATGAAAATGCTTTGTGAACTAAAATGACAAACAATAATGAGCTGCTTCTGTTAATTTGAAAGAGAATACACTTAAATTTCAAATAAGTTAGGAAGACCGATATGAAGGGTTTTCAGCAGGTTGTCTGAATGAAGTCATTCTAGTCATACATCCTTGACTTCATTAGAGACAGTATACAGAGCTGGATATATGCTCACCTCTTGCAGCCATTACTGTCTGATATTACAGTCATACATGATATGATTGTCCTTGATTATTCTGAGGCGTATCTGAAATTTTCATTCAGTTGACATATATTTACCGAACACTTTCTATGTGCTAGGCTACAATAACAAAACACCATAAACTGGTGGCTTATAAACAATAGAAATTCATTTCTTACCGTTCTAGAGTTTGGGAAGTCTTAGATCAAGGCACTAGCAGATTGAGTGCCTGTTGAATGTTTCTTTTCTGGGGTTCATAGATGGTACCTTCCTCACATGGTGGAAGGGGCTAGCTAGCTGTCTGTGGTCTCTTTTATGAAGTCAATAACCCCTTTCATGAGGGTGGAGCCCTCATGTCCTCATCACCTTCCAAATGCCCCACCTTCAAATACCATTACCTTGGTGATTACAATTCAACAGTATGAATTTTTTTGTAGAAACAAACATTCAGACCAGAGCAACATCCAACAGTAGCTTTGACTTAAGCAATAACATTCTTGAAATCACTGACTTGATATGCTAGTTCTACATTATTCCAATACATGTTAAAGAATACATACATACACACACACACACACACACACACACACAATTTAAATTCATCTGTGTACCAACAAAACAGTCTCCCAAGCCATGAGTAGCACATGCATCTTGTTTTGGAAACAGAAAAGGAATATAAACTAGTAAATTAAGATGCACACCCTGTACATTAGGGATAGTTGAGGCAGTTCTCCTGGCAGGACCAGATTTTGGTGGATAAAAGAAGACTATGCTCTGTTTCTTGCAATCCACATACTAGGAATGTCACTTGTTCTCAAAGAATGAAGGAACAAGCCCCCCACTACAATATCTGAAACAAGAAGCTGAATTTGTTGCTTACTTTGAAAGGCAGGGCCGTGTTTGTAGTACATAGCTTAAGAAAATTCCGATCAAATACGGGTGATGGAAAGCGTGGAATTCAAGATTGTTGAGCTTTCAGAAGAGCCTCATAAGAGGCTCATCTATGGGCCTTTAGCCTGGAGTCCTGGTCACTGGAGCACACTCGTTGATTGGCTGTCTCTCAAAAGCTGGGGCTATCACTGATTGGCTGACTCTCAGAAGCTGGGAATATCGCTGATTGGCTGACTCTCAGAAGAAAGGTTTTAATGGACAAGTGTAACTGTTCATTTGGAATGGGTTTAACGCCAGTGCTGATGTAATAACAAGCAGTCAGTACTTTCTTAGGACAATAGGTGGGTTTTATTCATACGACTGAAATGAGGAGATAAAATAAGATAGCAAAATGATTCCAAGGTGGACAATGAATTGATTTACCTTCAGGATTCCAAATATACCTATTGAAGAATTCGTTTTATTTTTTAACTTTTAAAATTTTTTTCTTCTTTACAAATAATAAAACCTGTCAGATCAGCAATATCAGTTTCTTCAAAACTGCTTGGATTACTAATCAAAGCTTAGGGGAAAACATAGCTCTCAATAAATAAATAAATCTTTTGTGCTACTTGCTCCTACCATATAGAGCTACCCATGTGAGAATCAGCTTCTATTAGAATGTTTGCTCTTGTGACTTTGCATGGTGTCTTAATACTTATGGGCTTTCTCAGTTTCAGCCACCTGTAGATGATTGTCTGTTTAGAGGTGACCCTTGTAATTCCCCAAAGTAATTTTGCATATGCCATATAGCCTTTATTTTAACTCTTATCTTCCAAAATATTCCCTCTCAATTTAGACAAATACTGGCTCTTCATTTTTTCATGGAGCATTAATTAACAGACAGATACATACATGGATAGTGCACACGTGGCTTCAGAGGAATGCTCAGGTGTGCAGATTGCTTACTTGCTTGTTCAAAGCACATTTTTTGCTAGTATTTTAAACATGGAAGTTATTCTGCTCTGCTCCCTTATCTACTGCTCTTTAAACTCCATAGATTACGTACAGGCAGCAGGTTTTTGAATTTTAAAAAATATTCAATATTATTTCTTTCATATACATGAAATATATGTATTTATATACACACATGCTCATATATATACACACACACACAACACTAATGTGTGTGCGTGTGTGCATGTGTGTACTTCTACTTGGTCTTCTCTTTAAAATAAACTTAAAATTTGGTTTATAAATAATTTCCAGAATGTAGTGCCATAGTATAAGTTTCAGGCCTAATTATAAGCATAAAATCAAGTATGTACACCTCTCATGTCACCAATTCATATTGTCAACTGTAAAATGTAGAAAGCTGTTATACTACAAAATTACCATTTGTGCCATTTGAATACAGGGTTCACTGACCAAGTTTTAAAATATTAAGATATATGTGGGCTGTTCCATTTCAAATCCAATAACATCTTCTTGGAGTGTGATGCTGCCATTACCTTTCCAAGTAGACTCTCACTGTGCTTTTCTTTTTTCATTTTGGGAAAAATAATGTGACATAATTAACCAATATTCTCTAGGTCTCTATATTGATATATAATTCATCATAGTTGCTAGGGAGCCTGACTTTTCCTATTCTATTATTAATAAACAGATAATGATAATGGTAGCAATAACTTTCTTATCTATTCTTTCATTTATATTTCTGAATTATAAAACTTGTTGAGATCCTCCTAGGTGCCAATATTTTGCAAGATGCTTTAAGAGATACAGAGATGACTAGTTTGCAATCTAGTAAGAGGCTTATATTGTTACTTACAGTATCCTGATGATTTACGATGTGAGCATAAACTACGAATGTAGATAAAATGGCCCTGACTCAACTACTTACAGCCAGGGTGGTTTATGGCAAGTTACCTAAATATTCTAACCTTCAATTTCCTCATCTGCAGAACAGATACAGTAGTAATAATCACCTTATAGAGACCTTGTGAAGATTTGTGATATAATTATGTGAGCAATAGGCTTAAGTACGGTGCCGGCACACCGAAAATACATGTATCTGTAAATACATACTTGATTTTTAAAAATTAACTTTTAAAATACAAAAAATTAAACTGAGTATGTGAAAAAACATATAAGCTATTTTTATTAATATTCAATAGTGCAGGAATGATTATTTCCTATGACACAGAAAGGTTACGCAGCAAGTCATGGACAAGTTAGTATTACAAGTACACTAAGAAAAATCCTGTCCAAAGACGGCTTCAGTCACCCTGAGCTTTTCCTAACTCAGAATAAAACCTCTCAAGTGACATCCTCAGGGTAGGGATGACTCACAACCACTCTGGAGGAGCAAAGAACATGTTTTATAGTTTTGATCCGCACGCTTGCTTTGAATCCACCAGAGGATGGGTTCTAGCTTGCAAACTTCCGACTACACATGAGGGTCAAACATGGAAGGATGTGATCATGGAAGGATTTGCTTTTGCTTTGCCACCTCCAACCTTAGCTCTGATTGTGCTGCTTCTCTCAAACATTCTCCTCCTGGTTGAAGTCCCTCCTGGGGCTGGTTGAAGGAAAACAGCCCTTACCCAAAAATGCCTTCCTGAGTATGTCTGTGTATTGTGTTCTTTGAGACCCCTATTAGTTCATTCTCTGTGCTGCAGAGCGCATGTGGCAAATCCCCAAGGGCAGGATTATATTTAAAAACAAAAACACAAGGGTTGAGAGTGGAAATGAAATTTATCTCATTTAGTATTTCCAACTCACCACTTTGCTAGTTTGTTTGGGTCATCTCTCTGGAGAGGAAAGGGTGACAAAGGCATATGCTGTATCTTTCCCAGCTGACCTTCTGACACACTATGAAGAAACAAACTAAATCAACAAAGGAAAAAATTGAGCAAATTCTTGTTTCCTTTCTTTACCAAAAGTTTCTTGTTTTGCTCCCAAGATGTTTTTCTGTTGACTAATCTCCCCTAGCTCTGCCCACAACCTCAGATTTTCTTATATGCTCTTTCATGGGCTACTAAAGGCAATCTCATCTTTCCTCCACAGCTCTTACCCCAGTTAACCCTAAAGGAAGTGTCCAAGATCTACCTTCCCCACCAGGTTGTGCGCGCTTCAAGGGAGTGTTCAAAGGAATCAAGGGAGTGACTTATCTCACACAGTGCCTGGAAAGAAGAAAGGCGGGCAAGCAGAGTAGAAGAATATTTATATCTGGAGTGATTCAGACAGCAGTTCAAATCTGGTCTCAGCTTCTTGTTAATTGTGCTATATTAAATAAATTGCCTAAATTATCTGACCCTCAGTTTCCTAAACTGTAAAATAAGACTAATATCATCTTTATGGAGTTGTTTTGAAGACTCTTAGAAGTAGCAAATGCAAAGTGCCTGTCACATAATGGAAACTTAATAATTTATTATTACTACAGCAGGTGCCTAATCCATGTTTGCTGAGTAAGAGAGATTATGCATTACTATGATATACTTATTCTTCCCCATGCAGTATTATAGAATGGGTAGAGGAGGATGGATTTTATTTATTAATATTTGAGGTACAAGTAGAGCTCTTATTTATAAAAATTCCCTTGAGTGAGTCAACATCCTTTTATATATATATATAATATAACAAAACTATAATATATACTATTATAAAATACAATATAGAGTATAGCCCCAAACTCTTACTAGATGGGAGGAGAAGTATAAAAAAGACCTCCATGCTGCCCCTTTGTAAGAACACTGCTTTAATGGCCATGTGCAGAGGACAGACAGCAGCGATCTAGCTAAACAGCCACCATATGGTCACATGGCAGATAAAAGCATCCAGGTAAGAGGGCAGAACTGCTTCAAAGACATAGTAGAGTTTCCAAGCTTGTGGCAGAAAATGGGCTGGGATGCTTAGGAGAGAGATGTTATGAGGGCCAATCCCATACTAGAACAGTCAATATACCTTGGGGAAGACTTGTTTATTCATTTTTTGGTTGCTGTTGCAATTTTTAAGCAAAGTGGTTGATTTCATTATTATTAATATTAGTTTTAAACAAGATCTTTTTCTGCAATGGGTTGTGGAAAGGGTTTGTAAAGTCAATACAATTTTAGACTCCACACAAGCTGGGTTGTTAAATGGGGTCATGTTACCGTCTCTAACATATATTTTACTATTAGAGTTTTGGCTGTCACTTGTGAGTGCAAAACCAAGAGACAGACATGCAGGTGTTATCATGCAAGTGTCTCTTTGGAATCACACATATCTGTGTTGGTTCACACCTATTTCCTAACTGGGTAAGCTTGGAGAAATATGTGTGTGTATGTGAGTGTGTGCGTCTTCAATTTTATATATTATGCATGCATAATTGACTTGTGGTGAGAATTAAATACAGTATT